TTCAAGATTTCAAAGTTTAAGTTTTCACGACTGGACATGGGGAAAATCAAATGGGAATGACTCAAAATAGGAACAATTAAAGAAAAGTAGGAGAAGAAAGAAAAGTAGGAGATATCACAGATCCAGGAGAAACCCCGGAGATCTCGCAACTATCATATTGTTTGGCTTTATGTCTTTGAAATGATGTTTATTTGATATTTCAATCCTGCAAATTATTTAGAATTTAGGACTTATGTTTTCACAATATCGGACTGTGAAAATAGTCTAAAAGACAGGAGGATTTAAACTGTACCGTACGGTAACCTCGGAATCCTAAAACGTTAGGACTTATAATTATACAACAGAGTTGTACAGAAAGCCTAGAAAGCCTAAAGAGTGATTAAAGAGTGATCCTATGGGTTGTTATTTAAACTAAGGAAAGTGTATAGTGTTGTGAAAATGTTTATGTGATGAGAAGATGTTTTGCTGTTGCAGATCCACCTGGAATTTGTTCCTCGTCGCGCTGCCCATGTTGTTCGCTCCAAACTCTTTGTAGTAGCATCTCCTGGTTTAGTTTTAGTTTTGAAAATGCTCCTAACCACTAGGTTATCCTAAACTAAGGCATAGTATATCAAAGTAACTAAACATGCAATGTGAAAGAAAAGTAACAATGTACTGTACAGTAAAGAGAAAAGACAATATAACATGCTGAAAGAAGAGCATAACGTGCTATAAAGAGTAATATAACATGTTGGGGAAGCAGTATAACATGCTTTAAAATAAAATGTTGTAATATAAATTAAATTTGTACACCTGGTAGGTTCATAACTCCTTTAAGTTTAACTAGTATGCGCTCTACAAAAGAGGAAAGTATGACCTGAAAAAAGGACTTAACAGAAACAGGTAAATTGTAGGAAAAAGATAAACAAATAAATGAAACACAATATCACATATAAAAGACCAAGAATAGAAAATTTTTATGTTATATTGGGATGTCCCCAATTGCCAGGAGGATTTGAGTGTAACACAAACTCAAATCCCGGAGTATTGGGTTTCAGTTTTGGTCAAATTAAGGTAAGAATTTCATTATTTAATTTAATTAAATCAGTCACGAGTCACAATCTAGTGCACCCTCGTGCCTAGTGTCCTACTTATCTCCTAAACTGAGATTAGATATTTGGATTTCTTAGGGTCATTTGAAAATTAAGATGATAAACTATCTCTTAAGTTGTGCTTCTAAGATCTAGGATGTCTGCACTTTAGTTTAAACTTGAAGTGTCCTAAAGTGTCTAATCTCAATTAAGTGTCTTTCCACTAACCCTCAAACATCTATAGATCCAGTTTAGCTCGCTATCAGGCTCCTAAAACCTAGGGGTAAACTCATAGTTTTGGCAAAAGAGTTGTGAGTTGAGCTTCAATCCTAGTTAAAGGAATTGAATTTTAAATTGATTCAAAGCTTAAGGGATCTAAGTGCAAGTCCACTAATCTCTCAATCGTTATCTAAATTCTCATTTCTTCCGATTCCAACTAGTCTTCCAATTTGCAATTCATTTTTCCTTATATAAAAGAAAAGGTGGATTGTTCGTTACTCTATCTCCTCTTTAGATTCTATCATCCAAAAAATTCAAATTTCAATTTTAATTTTCTCACATTTTCTCTTTCCAATATTTAAATTCGTTAAAAGGAAAATGATCGGATCAATCCCGAGGACGATATCCTTTCCAAATGTCAATTTTGCGCATTTCCAAACCCCTATTGAATTAAATTTATATCAATCCCATACTTTCTTCAAAATGAAATTATATAAACTTTTTTTATTTCACAAGTCACCAAACCATCTCCAAACAAACCCAAAAAAGCTCACAAGTAAAGCCAAAAAGGGAGATAAAATGCCACCAAACCAGCCCCAAATAAACCAGCTTTAAAGCAATGGTAGAAAATCCCGAACCGAGCCAGTTAATTCAGCTCAAAAAACGAAGGCAGAAAACTTCAAACCAGCTCAATTGATTCAGCTCAAAAACGAAGGCAGAAAACCCCAAAAGAATCAAAGTCAAAACTTCGTTTAATATAGGTATATCTTCAGCCAACATTTAATCCAACAAGAAGGTAAATCCGATCTCATTAAATGAACTAAAATAGGGTCTTTTAAACAAATCGTTCGCCCCCCAAGCCTACCTACGGCAAGACAATGAAGCAATGACACCATAAATGAGGAGAACGCTCGGCCTCAAGGAAGAGAAGCGTCGGCCAGGTGGAAACCCTTGATTGGAGACTCGCTCGGTCAAGCGGAGATCAAAGAGGCTGCGAACCGACAATGGAATGCCGCGTGTGAGGAGGCGAGTCTTCTCATGCGCGAATGGCAGAGGAGATGCGAGAGCTAGGGCACGAGGAGGAGCGGTCGCGGGAGCTAGGGCACGAGCGACGAGCCAGGCTTCAATCGAGAGTATGGAGTGTTTTAATCGGGTTTATGCAAGCCAGTGAAAACCTAAATAAGGTTAGATTAAATATGATTTAAGAAAATATTTAAGATTTTGAAAAAATAAAATTTTAATTTGTGTTTCACCCATGCATAAAAGAGTTAATTTACACATCTTAATTCGTGTGAAATAATTGCAAATTGGACACCCCTTTTAGGTAATTTCGACATTCCGGACGCTCCGGCGCAGTTCATTTTGCCATCAGAGGTCGCTTCGACGAATTCATCGATTTGCGTGCCAATTTTCTAATGTCGAAAATATGACAATATGGGTGTCCTTTCCTACCAAAATTGGTGTCTCGGACGCGCTGGCGCGGTCCATTTTGTCGTCGGAGGTCATCCGGAGAAGTTCGCATTTTCACCCGTCCTTTAGGCTTAATTGAAATCCGATTTAGTGCAATTTTGTGAACTTTGTGTATTTAGTGTGTGTATGTGACAAAAAAAAGTCGTGACGATATTTTCTTAAGGCTTGAAGTCCTATTAGGAACTTTTCCCTTGAGTCTTCGCAAAATAACCTATAACTGCTCGTTCATAAGACGATGGTCTTGTGCCAAAAATACTATGCATCAAAGGAAAATAAAAATTGGTTAGGATTTTCTAAAAGCATGGGTATCAATTCTAATTTTCTAAGACGATCAATAAGAACTCCTAGAACTAGATCCTAGGCTCTAAGGAGGAGAAGAGTAGACCTCACAAAAATGAGGTCAACAGCATGTAATCATATCTATATCTAATGTCATTGTCCATTGTTCATATGCTAGAGATCATTTTGACGCTAAAACATATGTGAAAAGAGAAGGCACAAGAAAAGGTTGACAAAAAGGTCAAGGACAAGAAAAAAATGTGATGTAAATCTGTCATGGTTCAATGAAATCTCCAAAAAAGAACAAAACGTTGTACTTTTACTCAGAGAACACCTTCGATGTTAGAAACTTGACTATGACATTGTTTGATGACAAGTGAACAATATAAGTATAGATCATGAAGCTTAGATGTCTTTACTTGCAAGGTAGATAAAGATACAGTAGAGAAGGAATCAAAAAAGTAAAAAGAAGACGGGCACAAACAAATTATTAAAATGAATGCCTCAGAAAAAAGAAGACATGTGGCAATGAGAGAGTAGAAAGAAATAATGACCCGCAGTTATCAATTGCTAGAATTCAGGATTTTAGGGCAAAGAGAGTCGGACTTATAAAGGTAAAGATAAACAAAAAATGAAAGAAATGCCATTTAGTTGCTCGAAAATCAACCATCATTCTTTTTATAACTGAAAAACTGCTATTTCTAGAAGTAAATATAAATTCATGCACATTTTACCTTGAAATGCAAAGTCTTAACCACAAATGGCCATTTTACCACTAACTGTGAAACAACAAATAAGAAAAAAATAGCTTGAAACGAAAACTTTCATAAACACTAATGTGAAATAGTAAATACCATAATCATGGTAAACAACAAAATACCAAATAAAATAGGATAAAGTTCGCACAAATAAGAGCACGAGAATGGTAATAGGAATCTTGCACCAACAAAAACACTTGGAGAATTTATTTTTCGACAATATGCTTTAACAAAGCAGTAATATAAATGCATAAACAAAAATCTATAAGTAATTCTTATAAGAATGTATTCCGGTTCCCGCTGATGATATGCCAGTAAACATAATAGGGAAATACAAAATAATAAATTTCATAAACAGAGAAAACAAAGCAGAAAATAAATCTTGGCAATTTTCAAACCTGCTCATTAGCAGTAGCAGAAAGACCACCAACGTAAACACGACGAGCATGCCGAGTAGCCTGATACTAACAATATGGTTGTTTTAGACACCGCATTTTTTATAATTGACATGGAATAATAAAGAATTGAGAATCAAACCTGTTGTGTCATAGCTTGCACAGGCATCAATGGAATAGTTGGGAACTGAACCTAATCAATAATAAAAAGAAAGTCATTGCAATATTAACCAACATAAAATCGACAATAAATGATAGGCATACACCTGTCCTGCTCCCAAAAGAAACATATTGGGAAGCATTCCAGGAACAGCAGCAGTTGTCCCAGGTACCTGGCCTGTAAAACAAAATTAGGCTACAAAAAACACACTGTTTACAATATTAGCAGAAATTTTGCACGGCATCATCTTTTCCTCATGGATGAGAGATACGCCCTGAGCTCCCTATGACATTATCACAAAAAAAAGCAACATATCACTTCCAATTTCATAATAAAATATTTGCAAGACTACCAAAAAAGAAACACTCCTGGTTTGAAGACGAACAAGACATCAAATAGGTGCTCATTCCTCCTTGTACATTAAAGCTACAGTAGTCAGCTCGCAGCCATTGGCAGTAGGGAATTGCCTTATCAAAACAACATTATACAAAGAACAAACAAAAAACAACAAAGCAATAACAACCAAAAAAAAAAAAACCCCTTCAGCTTCAGAGTCAAGTTGTTGAACAAAAATGAAAAAGAAGGTTACGTGAGGCATCCACAACTAGATAATGCATAGAGTGACAGCTTACCCGATAAAAGCATGCATCATCACACAATTCTGCAGCAATTACCAGAAAAGCTCAAAATGAAAATAGAAGACAAAAATTTAGTACGTACCTGGAACAGAAACATTGGGCATCATGATCGGCGGTGGCATGTCGAACCCACTGGTTCGTTTACTGCACCAAAAGAGCATAAAAAATGTTTCAAAGGGACAGAACAACATTAATGCATGAAAATATGCACACACAAATAAGAAAAGAGGGTAGAACATAAACAAAAACCAACAAAAAATAATACGAAAACATGCTTTCACACAAGGTGCACATTCCATTTTCAGCATAAAAACATTAACACAAGTTGCATACAGTCAAATATGCACCTATATACAACTAATTCGAACGATATCGACATACTCTGCAACAAGGTAATGTTGAATTCCACCAGAGGAGTACGCATCATCTGGAAGCAAATTACAGATTCATGTTATACTACAGAATCAAAGTAGCAGGAAAATTTTCAGCCAAAAATATATCCTATTTGACTGGTTCACCATATGAATTAGAGAGTTTTATTAGAAAACTTGCATCCTAATCCAGCACATGGACTCAAGCCAAGAGTCATGACTAGAGAAAAATCTGGACTGAGCCCAAATTACGGATTACATTCTGAATCAAGTTTCCTTATTCCTTTATTCCCTCTATTCATACTTCCAAGCAAAGGCGTAGCTACAGTGGGCGCACTGGGGCCCATGCCCCACTAGCCCAGCCCACTTAAATAAGTTTAATACATGTTTTCTTTTTTTATAAATTATAAATTGCTAATCATGTGTTGACCTCATTTTTAGTGAGGTCTAGTTTTCCTCTTACGATTTAGGGTCTAGCCTTAGGGTTCTCCCTTTGACTATCTTAGAGTCTTAGAAATGGAACCCGCCTCATTTTAGAAATTCAACCTACCTCTTTACCCTTTTGGAGTTTCGCATGTGTGGTATCAGCCTCTAGCACTAAGGAGGTTGAAACTAACATGAGGAAACCCAAACGGAGTCCTTATATGCATAATTTCCAAGAAGCCCTATGATTGTTTTATGCATAATTTCCAACTTCACGTGCACAAACTTCGCAATTCAGAGAGTCGGTACGTTTGATCACTACAATTCACATCATCACATCATTTGCACCGTTATTTTCCGAAAACTTAAATAATTTTTTTAAAAAAAATCGATCGCGGACCAGAATTTAGACGAGAATCGAATTTGACGCGTTTTCGACCCGATCGTTGACGAGGTTATTTGAATGACCCCAGATGACGAAACGGAATGCGTCATCGCGTCTGGAACGTCGATTTTAGCTAGAAAAAACACTTATTTTGCTAAGGAGCTGCACATGAATAAATTGCACGAAATTTGTCATTTTTTTAAATAAAAAAAATCCTTATTTTAAAATCCCTAACCCTCGCTCACGCCTCTCGCCTCATCTCTTTCCCGCACGCGAGCCCGGCCAAGCATATTGTCTCCATTCACGTTCGCGAAACCTAGCCGAGCCGACCGAACTCCCTCTTCCTAGCGAGAGATCGGCCCGCGGTCCCTCTCCCGTGCTCCAATCTCTGACAAAAGTTTCCATCTGTGCCGCTCTGCTTCCACCTGCTCCCTCCTCTACCTAAAAGCTCTGCCTCTATCGTCGTCTTCACCCCACGCGACTCTCGTCGCTTTTCTTGGCTCGGCTCACCGTCCAGGTGAATGAAGGTAACTCCTTCTCGTTCCCCTTTGCTATAAAAACCCCACTTGAGGAAGGGTTTTGGGTTGGCAAAAAAAAAAGAAAAAACAGAAGAGGGGAGGTGCTGCAGAAATTCCCTGGCTTGGTGTTTGCTCGCTCTTCGAGCTCCGTAGCTTGTTCCCCCTGTTATTTCTTTTAGGTCAGCCGAGTAAGGTAGGCCCTCTCCCTTCTCTTCTTTCATTTTCGGTTTTACTTTGCTAACATAAATTACGTGAGGGAGGGGAGGCTACTATTGAGAATTTGGAGGTAATTGTTTTATTTTATTTACCCTATGTCTGCTCTCTGATTTCATGGTTGCATTCTTCTCATCCATACGTTCATAAACTGCCTATTAAATAGTTGGTTCCCATTTGAGGATATCTAGCTGCTGCATGGAAAGTTGTTTGAGGATTTGTTTCAACTTTAGTTAAAACTGTTTGGGCTTTTTTTTTTTTTTTTTTTTTTTTTTTTTTTTTTTTTTTTTTTTTTTTTTTTTTTTTTTTTTATGGTGCTTGGTTTGAAAGTTTGATTGATCCGATTAACCGAGTTTCATTACAGTTTAGTCTCAATAAAATTGGTTGGTAAGAGATTTATATATAGCACCATTTAATTTCTGGATGTTTAAGTGTATAACATTTGAATAAAAAATGATATCTTAGTTTCATATATTTGCTGCTTGGAGTCTTGCTTTCCTTGCTAGATCACTCCTGGTAGTTTACAGATTTTAGTATGACGAGACAAAGCCAGTCCCTAATAACCATATCTTCTGCATACGAACTGATCTAATCCTAATTATCGGTTGGAATTATATGGATTATGCTCTTTGTAACAGGTTAATTTAGTGGCTTCCTTTGTGAATATGCTGAAGTAAATTTTAAACCTTAAGGACTGCAGTGATTCTTCTTGTTTCCTAGTCTATCGATTGATAAACACTGATAAAGTGGACATAATGTATTGATGGAGATTTGGTTGATGGCAAAGTTCAATGGGAAAACTTTTCAATATAAAAGCTTGCACTTCACATGTTTTCCTTCTATCAGCAGCACCTAATTCCCTCGTATTTACATGCATACCACCCAAATTTTTGTACCTTTACATATCTAACACCTAAATTTTACTTTTTTTACATTTATGTCATCCAAGTCTTTTAAATTTTGCAAATTATATATTAAGGTGGCATGTATGCAAAATGTGAGTTTTGGGTGTTAGATACGTAAATCAATATGAATTGTGTGGCAGGTATGTAAAGTTTGAATTTATGTGCTCTATGTGTAAATTCATGAGAATTGAGAGGTGGGATATATTTAATGTAGATGCATCTTCATGCCTAAAACGTTTGGAATTACACATTGCTTTGGGAGGTTTTTGGGGCGGTTATTGAGGCTATGATTTGGCTCTATTTTGGCGAGGTTTTGGGCTGCAGTTTGGCTCTATTTTGAAGAGAGTGGTGTACCCGTTTTAGTATAGTTTTGGCGCTTTTATACATCGGTTTGGGCACTTTAAGTGCTAATTTATGGAAGCTTTCATACATCAATTTGAGCACTTTAAATGCTGATTTTTTAGGCTTATACGCACCTTTTGGGACTGATTTGGTCATTGTTTTGAAAGAATTTATACGTTTTTAAGCCGATTTACTTGCGGTTTTGCCCCTTTGTTTTGTGGATTTCTTTTTAAAAGTGAGCCAGCTTCCTTCTCCGTTGATTTGTTTTTATTATAATGATTAAGTCAAAAATAGAAATTTTTTATTTAATTATTTGGAAAAAACTTAAAATATATTTGATGATTAGTTAAAAAACACTTTATTGATGGTAAAACACCTTAAATCACTTCAAGCTCAAGTTAAAGTGTAGGCTTCCTAAATTTTATAAACACACCCTAAGTGAGTTCATCTACCTAATTTTCAAATGAATGATGAAACTAGGCGTTTGACCTCAATTCATAAGTTAGTTAAAACACTAGGCACGAAGATACATCAAAATGTGGTTCATAACTTCCTTTTAATTAAATCAAGTAGTGAAATTTCTGTCATGACTTAACCTACAGTGAAACTCAATGCTCCGAAATTTGAGTTTGAGCCTTACACTCAAATTCTCCTGGAAATTGAGGACATTCCTAATGTCACATTTAGTCACATACTCCTGGTTTTTTATATATGACATCTTGTTTTGTTTTACTCATTCGTGTTTTTTTATTATGATTTTCTTATACCGGATTTTCTAGCAATTTGTTTAAGTTTCCTGCAATTTGGTTTAAGTTTCCTGCAATTTGTTGCAATTTGTTGTTCTTCTTATTGCATTATTTACTTTAATGCACTTGTTAAACTCCTTGGGTAGAGAACTACTGGACATATGTTAGGAGGTACATCGTGCCCTTGAGACCCAACAATAATTATACTTGCAAATACAAAACAGAAACTAAACTTGGAGTCGCTATAGTTTGGAGCTTGAAACAAGTCTTCGTGGGCAGCACGACGGAGAAACAGCAGATGGAACAGCAGATGGAGGATGCAGCAGATGGAGGATGACGATCTACAACAGCATATTTTTTCTTAGAATTAAATAACAAGTCATACGACTTCGAGGTAGTCTACCTAACGCGACATAAATCCTCACTTTATCTTTTAGGTCTTTGCACAGTCATGTTGTGCAATTTAAGCTCTAATTCGTTTTAGGTTCCGAGGTTGTCATCCGATACGACATAAACTCTCATATCTTTCAGGCTATTTGTATGACCGTGTCACACAAATATAAGTCTTAAATAATAAAATTGGTAGGATAAAACATAAAAAAAACATCTTCTCAAAATTGAAGCCAAACAATAGGATAGTTTGGGAAGTTACCGAGGTTCTTCATCAAGATCTGTGACATCCCCTATTTTTCTTTCCTTTGATTCCAAAAATAAATGTTTCTATTTGGTCCATTTCCCCACTTGAATTTTCTATATCCAACATTGAAAACCCCAAACTTTGAATTCATGAAGATAGAAACCTCCGATCATCATCGAGATTTCTTTTAAATGACTCAATCATTTGAGAGGTAATTAACTATAGGGATTTGCCTCTATATAGAGCTTTAAGAGCACAGATAATATAAATCTTATTTAATTCTTAATATTAGATAGGGGTTCCTTGTCGGTCAACATAAAAGTTCGTAGACTAAAACGGATGTTATAATTTTTTTAGTTTATTTAATTAATCACCACCAGCAAGTTGTGTTTATCCTTCAAGGTAAATATATTACTTACGGTTGTGCTCGATCATTTAAACTATTGCAGATATGAGATCGATTCAGTCTTGCATTTTTAAAAATTAAAATATTACTTTTTCTAAAATATATATATTAAATTAAACATTTTTTTAAAATCGGGCGTCAGGATATCCATTCCGGCGGCCGACAATTTTTAATTTTTTTTAAAACGACCGACATCAT